GACATCTGGTGAAAAATTCATGTCATTAGCACCTCTAGTAATATATTTACTGAGAAAAATGGACGTGTTCAATACTTATTTTACCCGCTGTATATATACACATATATTCTGGAGCACATAATTTTTAAGGCTCAGGCCTGGACGTTTTCCTCTGAATGAAGAGATGCTGTTGTCACATGGGCATTTAAGAAAAGAATCAGGAATGAGGTAAATCTCCTGGATTACAGTGTTTTTCAGATTAATAGCCCAGGCCATCCAATTAATCCTAGATAATCTCCTCGTTGGGAAAAGGAAGGGAAAAGCAGCAGATGTTTTTAAGCTGCCATTCTGTCGCGGTTTAGTTACTCATATTCATTCACATTTTAGATTTTTGCTGTGTTGACCATTTTCCCAGCAAATTTTATGGCATTCTTAGACGTAATAAACATTTTTGATAAAAAAAATAGTCCCTGCTATTTCAGTGAGCTCTGTCATAATCTGTGCCAAATTTACAGATCTTTGTTGTCGATGTTCTTTAAGCGTCTGACCTAATTTGTTTAGTGTTTGCTTTGTGCGTGCCCTCTGGTGTGTCAGCCTCCATTTCCTCTGACATCACAGTAAAAATATTGTCATCAATAACAAATTTAAACTTGTTCAGCATTGTGTCATAGGGGTCAGATAAGGAAAAGTTAAAAAAGAAGAAATAAATGAAAATGAAACTTGAGCAAATGAATCACGGCAGTCAGGAAATAACCCAATAAATCACAAATCATCCTTCAGGGGAAATTTCTCACAAAGCCCTGAATCCAGATATCTAGTTTGGGTTGTGAGCCGTGACAAACGTAACAAAAGTAAAAATGTGATGAGAGGGTGTGAGGGATGGGGTGTTTGTGTGCGGAAGCTGAGGTCTGCATAGACAGTGACAGGATGTTTGTGTGGTGCTGCTTCCTGTGGGGATTGCTGTCGTGGGGGCGAACGTTGAAACGAGACGAAACCTCTTTAAGACGCCCACATGCGAAAACAACCACGTCACAACCTTCCAGCAGAGCAGAGCTCAATGTTTCACTGGCCTCACCCCGACCGGTTCAAACCCAGAGCAGGCTGAGGCTCCAGCAAACGCTCGCTCAGCGGCTCCACTGACAGCCATGATGAAGTGTGTGTGTGTGTGGGTCTGTGTGCACTGCAGAGGATTGAAACTGCAGCCTCAGCAGGGAGAAGGGATGACAAACTGGCTGTGCTACTGAAGGAGGAGAGGAAGGGGGGGCATGAAGAAAGTCAGACAGTTGAGTGGGAGAGTTTTGTGGGAAGGCAGAAATTTCAGCGTGGGCTTTGAGGAAATGAGGACAGAGACGTCAGATTACAAACCATGATATAAACGACCACACACATGAAGCTACTGTATCACCAGGGGCGGAGAGGCGTCTAAACCGCCCTCTCAACCAGATCACAGGCACAGTCATGTGTGACTGAGAACTGCTCAAATTTTGTTTCAAACTGAATACTTTCTCTTCAGTTGAATAAATGTTTGATTCTTTTAATTAGTTGCTATTTTTAATCTCTGAAATCATTAAAACTCAAAATACACAAAATTCTTTTACTTTTTGTCTGTGTAACGGTCTCTGAAGCTAAAAAGTTTTATTGTCTTCACTAAAATAGAAATAGTTAAAGTCATTAAAGCAAACAGAAGCTGTGAAGCTCACACTCAAAAGATAAGAAGAATAAAATTTTATATAGTGGGGCCTTAAATATTTTTTTTATCTTTGGGGACATAAATATTTAGGACTGTAAAAGCTTCCAAAGTTTTGTGTTCCTTAAAAAATTAGATTAAACTCTATAAATCATTTTAAATTTCAAAAAAAAAATTTTTTTTAAATTATGACTTCTTTTAGCCAGAAATTTATGAGTCTGATTTACCTTTTTTGTACATCTTATATTCAACAATGTTACATGATAATATTGGTGACATCCAATACTTTAAGTAGTAGTAGTAACTTTATTTGTAGAGCACTTTTCACTGTCAAGTAGCCACAAAGTGCTTCACAGGAAAACTTCACAATAAACCACAAGAGCATATAAAAATACATTTACAAATGATAAAAACGTCAATAAAACAACATGAAAACTCACACAAACGTTAAAAACCTGCTTACAAATGTCATTTTTTATCTGCTTTCTAAATATCTCCACTGAATCCAAAATTGCAGTTTTCCAAAGTTTAGGAGCTAGGCCTACAACCTGAAAAGAAAAAGTTTTTAAAAATGTCTCAACACAAAATCTATATTAGATGTTTGAATATGTACTTATATTGTAAATAGACAAAAGAAAACCTGAGCGTATACTGATCTCATTTACATAGGTTTAGATTTTTTTTTATTGCTAACAAGAGTTTGTTTTGAGTGAGTCCAACACAACCTAAAATTAAAAAAAACTGTTACTTTTGTTTTATTAGTCTCCATTTATGAGGGGAAAAAAGTAATGAATTATGTTGCTATTTGTGTATTTCACGTTTTTTCTCGACTGTAACAAGAACATTTGTTTCACTTTGTAGGGCAGAGATTATATTTTAACACTGTAAATCCTATATTGACTAAATTTACAAGTCAAGGAACATTTTCTAAATGCAACATTTTAACTTTTACCCAATGTCAACTGATAACCCAGGGGAAACATGGGAGTGCTGTAATGGAAAGTGCAACATTTCAATGTAACTCTTTACGGTTCAACAAACAATGTTTCAGCAGCTGGATTAATTTAACTCAAACGGCAAAAAGTCTGCCTTCAGCGTTTCCTCCTGGAGGCTAACTTTCAAGCTTTTAACCATCGATAAACGGTCGATGCTTTTAACTCGCAGCATCACGTCATTCAGCACAAAAACAAGCTAACCCCTACAGACCACGTGCGCTGTAGGAAACATATACTTTACGTCAGCATCCATATGAGGAGTGTCGGACGAGCCATATTTGGGCATTCCGTCTCCGAGGTTGTTCCCTCTGGAAAACAAGGAGGAGCCTGAGCGGTTCCGCCCAGCGCGCAGCTGTTATCAATGAACAACTGAAACTACCAAATTAAAAGCGATTTAGACCGACGTCTGAGAGAGTTCTAGTGCTCTCGCTTTTATCATTATTATTTTTAATTTACGTTTTAAAATATTGCATTTGAATAGAATCATTTACTTAAGCTAAGAAAAGTTTTTTTAACATTTAAATTTTATTATATATTTTTTAAATTGTCTCTCAAGTTTAAGCCATGAGTTCAATCAGCGTCACTTTGGAAATAACTGGCAATGAGTTGGTCCACATACTGAGGACCCCCTGCGAACAGTACACCTCGGACGGGTGCGTGGTGCTGGACTGCAGACCGTTTCTGGACTTCACGGCTTCGCACGTCTGCGAGTCCCGGAACGTGAACTGGAACTCGATGCTGCGCCGCCGGTCCAAGAGCTCCGTGGTGGCCCTGGAGTGGCTCATCCCGGACAAGGCGCTGCTGAGCCGGCTGAGGAGCGGACGGTTCTCCCCGGTGGTGGTGGTGGATGAGCGGAGCCGCTCCCTGACCGAGCTGAAGTCCGAGAGCGTGGCCCAGATGTTGCTCACCGCCCTGCAGAACGAGGTCCAGACTCAGATCTGCTTTCTGCAAGGTGAATAAATACCCTTCAACAATCACAAGCTGTTAAATGAACTGTTCTTTTTGTGAAAGACTGGTTTCCAAACTGATTCAAAGTATATCTAAATTTTCTTTAATAATTAAAAATGATGAACTGATTAAGTTGTAATGAAATAATATAAAATTGCTCATTAGCTTTAATACTCCAGACATTTTTGTTGCAGTTGAATTAATACTTTGACCTTCATTTAGGTGGATTTGAGGGATTTTCAGAGGCCTTTCCAGAGCTTTGCTATAATTCCTCCAGCAGCCACTTCTCTACAGTGGAACCAGAGCCTACAACACCAGGCCGGAGGACTCCAGCTTATGATCAGGTACGCTAAAAACTCCTTTTCAACATCAAACATGGCGTCAACAAACCCTCACTGTGCCTGAACCAGCTAATGCTCTGCTTGCTGACTGTAAATTGCAGGATGGTCCAGTGGAGCTGCTGCCCTTTCTGTTCCTGGGCAGCGCCGTCCACTCGTCCCGCAGGGAGACGCTGACAGCAGCAGGCATCACAGCCGTGCTCAACGTGTCCTCCACCTGTCCCAACTTCTACGAGGGCGAGTTCGAGTACCTTCGTCTCACCGTGGAGGACACGCTGGCCGCCGACATCAGAGCCTGCTTTCATACGGCCATCTCTTTCATCGGTGAGCGCCACTTCTCGCTCCGAGTGACCTCGAAATGAAAGTTCAGCCCGTGGTTGTTCACTGAAACTTTGGCCTCATTTCAACGAGAAATGCCGCAGAGCATTTACAGGCAGCTCACGTAGAATAATCCATAAACTTCTCAAACTAATCTGATTACAAAATGCCTGGATTATGCTGCACAAGATGTTGTTTGCAAAGTTTGCACCTGTTGCAGAAAAAGCATGGAAGAGGTTAAAGTTTCAGACTGATTTGTAATGTTTACCGAGTTCTAACAGAGTATATTTCTAATCATGGCTCTCTTCTGAATTGTTTTTCTGGTTCCTCCCACAGACTCTGTGAAGCAGAGCGGGGGTCGGGTGCTGGTGCATTGTCAGGCAGGCATCTCCCGCTCAGCCACCATCTGCCTGGCCTACCTCATGCACACACAGAGGGTCCGGCTGGACGAGGCCTTCGACTTTGTGAAGCAGCGGCGTCACGTCATCTCCCCCAATCTGGCTTTCATGGGGCAGCTGCTGCAGTTCGAGACTGACATCCTCTGTCAGGGATGAGGACCTTCAGAAAGGAGGACTTTAATTAAACAAAAGGAGAAAAAAAAAAGACAAAATTAACCTCATTGTTGAGGTCTGACTATCAGGACTCATGTTCTTTTGATAAGGATAAACTTTGAGAATTCAAAGACAAGCTACTTGTGTTGCTGGCATCACAAGACTGATTATTTTTTGTTTTGTTTTCATAAACTGACACGTGTTTGATTCAAATGGCAGGCATCAAAATCAAAGCCTGCCATATTCATTAGAACTGGGGACCAGAACTGGCAGGTTAGAGCAGCCACACGGTTATTTGCCTTCCAGTGGAGGGGAAGCCATTCCTGCTTTTCTGCTTTTTACTTCTTGTGCCTGTTTTATTTTGAAGGGCTGCATCTTTTTAAACTTGAAGCCATTCCTTCAGAGCTGGAGCCACTGTGATCTACGTCTTTATGAGACAACACTGCTGACCACTTGGAACAAAGTGGGGAAATGTCATGTTTTAAGCAATGAATATCTAGACTTCTTTTTTTTTTAAATGCACTAAGCACATTCTGTACAGAGATGAATGACACAACAAAATGGGAAGACATTTCTCTCATGTAAATAGTTTTTAACTTATTTATGATTTATGATTTTTGATTTGTCAACGCACTTTATACCTGCAAGTTTTGGCCTGTTCCTGCTGTTTTTCCATTCAAATAAAAACTTGCTGAAGAACACATTTGTTTTCTGTTATGTTGAAAATAAAATGTTACTTTATTTCAGGCTCTCCAGTCTGATAAAATAAGTGCCACTGTGTATTTTCATAGCTTGCTGCAAATGTGTAATTTCATACACTTGACCCTGCAGTGCTTTAACTCACTCCTGCTGAATCAGGAGATATTAAAGCGGTGCGTTGTGGAGTGTTTTGGTGGATTATCCTGCTGAGAGTGGATTTTACAGTCTGAAGTCTTTTCAACCTCAAACGCTGACATAAAATTCATGTCCGCCTCCCTTTTTAAGCTGCGTTTTGAACATTTTAAAAGTGGCACTTGGGAAAAATTCACTTTTAATTTGTGTTTTTATTCATATTGACTTTCCATACAAGTCACAGCTGTAACTTTGGCTGTTTAACACCATTGCTAAATATGTTACCATTCACCGACCAGCTGCTGCAGCTACCTCATCTTCACATCCTATTTCTGCCACCCACACTTCTGTCACCTTCTACTAAAACAATCTCCACTTCCCCTCATTTGCAATTACATCGTGTTTAACTTTCACGTGAGTGGAACTGATATTTTTGACTTCTTTATTCCACTTGACTCTTTTTTTTTTTTTCCAGACAGAATGGAAAAATGCCCCTCAAACTTTTAAAGTTCTGCTTTGGACAAAGATGTCCACATCCTGAGAGTCATAACATCCTCCCAGCTAATCAACATTTAGGCTTTATTAAATATTTTTTTTATCTCATTTTCATCTTTTTGTATAAGATTTCAAATATCAATAAGGTAAAGAGGTGACTAAAGGAGGGRAGGGATTTGTGACAAAAGGATGGCAGCAAAGGTCAAAGGAAGAGTAGTGAGAGCAGTGGTTTGGAGACTGATAAAAAAGACAGAAGATAGAATTAGAAGTGGCACAGCTGAAGATGTCGAGGTTCTCCTTGTGAGGGACGAGGATAGATTTTTTGTCATTTTATTTATTCAGTCAATAAATATGAATAATTCATAAAACAACTAAAAATATACTGAAAATAAGTATAAATTTATATCTGCCCCCATTCACATAAAAATAATATAAGCTGTTCGACTCAGAAGACTATTACAGCAGGATCATTAGGCCAGCCTTTGCTGTTTTGTTTGATTTTATTGTTCATTTTATTACTGTACTTTGTTCDTTGTTTTTATTTTATGCTCCTGTACAGCACTTTGGTTTTTATTGTGCTTTATAAATAAACGATGATGATGAAATAAACGATGATGATGATTACAGCCATATTTTAAGTACACAATAAATACATACAAAAAATACACAAATGGTACATAACAAAACATCAACTTCAATACCATATTGCTTCATTGTAATGATTTACGATTGCTTTTAAACGCAGAACGAGATTGTGATTGTTTCACACTATCAGGTCTTTTGTAAACGGACACCTTAGATTGAAATGCATCTTTCAACTGTCATCGTTCTGAATCAAATTCAAATCTCAATTCCTTTTAAGTTATATTTGCTTTCCCTTTTAACAAATCTGTTTTGAATATTGTTTGGTAAAATATTAGGAATAAGATCATCAGAGGTACAACATAAGGTGACTGACTGGGAGATAAATTTAGACATCCACACAAGGGACAGTGGGTATTTGGAGAAGGGTGTTAGAGATGCAGCCAGGAAAAATACAAAAAGGAGATTTATGGATGCAGTTAGCGAGGACATGGAGGTAGTTAGAGGACTCCTGAAGAGGGAACATTGATGSGGTGTTTAAAATATGTGCAGCAGTCAAACTCAGTGAAGAGCTGCTCAAATTAAACAATTACATGGAAATGAGCTCCACCCTAATCAAATAACCTGGATTCCTGCTTATGCCAACAATCATCCAGTTTTAGTTACCATCATGCATCATTTCCCCTCACTGAAAAGCTCTTATTGTTTTCAGTCTTGGACATACTTTCATGTTTAACATTTGGAGAACAGAGTGTTTTGACAAAAACATGTTTTTCCACAGATAAATGATCTTCACACTTCTGCACCTCCTACTGTTAGTCCGGTACAATATTTAGGTCACCAAATCAACACAGCAACAAACACTCAGCATCAGTTAGAAGTGAAGCAGCGCCCTCTAGTGGCAGGTGATGAAACAACCAGAACATCAGTCTCCAGCAGATGACGCCAACACACTGCTGACTCAGTGAGACGTCACATGAGCCCATCAGCACAGAGAAACACATGCTTCAGTGTGGGTCCTTCTGTGTCCTCATGCTTGGAACCAGTCCGTCCCTCTGTTCTCATTAAGTTTGTCGTATTCAGTTCATCCTTTTATCAATCAGCCTCCTTAATGAAAACAGACTCAAACTATTAGTCACGCTGTGAGTCCGGATTAAACTACTGTCAGGCCTAATCATATTATATTAAGCTGTGGCAATACCTACTGATGATGTGTGTTTGCGTCTGTATGTCTCTGTGCCGAGGCAAGAAAAGGAAGAGTGTGTCAGATTAGGGATTAGTGCAGAGATCCCACTTCCTCTGGACGTGGAGTTTTGCAGGGTTTTGCTGTTCACAGCGGAAGACTGTGTCACATGAACAAGAAATCCCAGGTGAGGAAAATATGTGCGTGATAATGGTAGCTGAGGGATTACAGTGCACGCATGTTTGCATCAGCACACACACACACACACACACACACACACACACACACACAAACACACACACACACACACACACACAGAAGCAGCAGGGGCTGGGGTCTCATCAGAAATGCATCCGGGAAAATTACAGTGTGACCATTTGACAGCATTCCTTCTAGTTCTTAGCAGGCTTCCCACACACACACACACACACACACACACACACACACACACACACACACACACACACACAGCCTGTCTGCAAAGGAGAAGCATCAACCAACAGTCAGACTGGCGCAAAGAGCTGTTTATAAAAATAGAACACAGAACATGGAGAACCCTCCTTCTGGTGTGTGTGTGTGTGTGTGTGTGTGTGTGTGTGTGTGTGTGTGTGTGTGTGTGTGTGTGTGTGTG